CAGTTACTGCAAACCGAAGTATTCAGTGTTATACTATACTGTTATATAGTCATTCTTTGGACAAGAGCTTGGCTTCCGAACAAATATTGATAGAAGTTACATAACTGATAAGTGAGTTAAGATTAACTGATTTTTATCGCCATTTGTCCTTTCTATCCAGGTTACTGCTCTTGATGAACGGTACAAGCTGTCAGAAAGCCGCGACTACGAGGTCAAAGTCGCATTCCTCCAGCTAGCGATCCTCACAGGCTGCAGGTGTTACTTCAACGAGGTGGAGAAATGCTTGAAGCAGGTGGGAAGGATGAAGTACCTACGCCCGCTCTACAGCTCGCTTGCACGGTGCTCCGGGGAGGAGGAGAAGATGCTGGCCAAGAGGATCTTCTCGGAGGCCCAAGAGTTTTACCACCCGATAGCCCGCGGCGTCGCGGAGAGCATCCTCTTGAAGCATGGCTAGTTGAGTTGAAGCCACATTTTACCAAGCCTGAAGTAGAGAGAACATCTTTGATGCCTATTGACTGTTTGCTCGCTCATTTCTTCCGCATAAAATTTATCTCTCTCCTGGAGCTGACCTTGGGTGAAATTCTGAACTTCCTTCCGTGATGTGTTATGTGAGACTGCGTGTGCGTAATTTATTCTGACCCTGTAAGGAACTTGAAACTGTGCCTCCTGATAACAATATCCTGTGGTGATACTGCCATTGTCTCTTAACGGTCATCGTCTTTTAACTCGAATCTGGCTTATAAATAGAGTAGCAATGTGCCTGTGCTTTGCTATGAAATGAGAGGAGGATGTTATCAGTAGTGTGTTGAGCACCTGTTGTCTTCTTGATGCGGTTCTAGGGACTGGGCGAGAAGATATGTCAGCCGGTTATACAAATGGCGTGTGCTGGTCTCTAGCTTATTGCGCTGCTTGCTATACAATGGCATGAATGGTCTGAAAATGCTTGATGACAATGATGTGCTACAAGCATGCTGACCACAATAAATGAATAAATAGAAAGTGCACATAGAAGCTAGAAGGGCTGGCAAGCCTTATGACAGGCAGTTTGTGATAGAGTGTGGCCTTCCTGATGTTCCCAAGATAATAACTGCCATATCCCCATATGTTTGTTCTTCCTCGCCTCCTCCCGTCGCTCCCTGGCCTCCCGATCCTTCCTCGCCTCGTCGAATCTTTCCCTTCCCTGTCACGTTGTACTTGTATGTGACCATCATGGTGAGGGCGATGCAGCCAAACAGTAGCTGAGGCCCTCTCCTGTAATGAAGCCACCATCAACAGATCAGATATGTTGCAAACCTCCGCAACAATTCAGAAAATAAATGAATTTATGAACAGTTTGTTGGGGAATAATTATGGAGAAATGAGCAACGAGAAGAGGTTGAAAATGGCAAAAGGATCAAATAAGGATGATGTATGTAGTAAGTACTAAGTACCAGTTTTTGTAAAAAGATTCTATTGCTCTCTTGATGTTATCGGTCGTCCATGATCCGTAATCCGTAGCATCGGAGGACATCTTCCTCTATAAATCGGAGTAGCTGCAGGCTTACAATCGAGGTAATTACACATGCAGTTCCTGTACTCTCCAGCGTGTAACACGATGGTCCTCAAACTCGTGAAATGCTCCACTACAGTCCTCAAATACGAGGATACGCTCCAATACGGTCCTGACTACGTCTCGCGGTACGCATAGCAGCCCAGCCCGTGTCACGCTATCGTACAGTAGAAGCATGAGACCCACATGTAAGTACAGGAGAGAGAAAAATTAAAGAAACAAATTGCAAGAGGAATGTTTGAACCAGAGACTTGTCGTCGCTGATTGCAAAGCGCTCATAAACTAACCACAAAGCAAAACTGTGCTCCTGTTTTATTTCTGAGCTAGACGTTTACATAGTGCGCCTCCATGGCCGTATGCATAGTTCTGACACAGAGGCCGGGGAGTCCCCCCTTTTCGAAAAAAAGAAAAAAATGTACCTCTCCATGAGACTATCACTTCTATTCTACTGGTTTTCTTTTTTATTTATTTTCCAGGTTCACGATTAATTTTATTTTTCCACATGTGAAAAAATAAATGTAAGAAAAAAATTACAATAGTCATGGATGGTAAATAAAGTGTTTGTGCATTTGAAAAAAATGTTGAGAATGTTTTGGAAAATGCTTAACATGTAATTGTAAATGCACTTTTTAAAATGTCCATAATGCATTCAAAAAATAAACACAAACTTGAAGGAAAACAATAAGAAAACTGGTAGCTGGGCATATAATGGGGTAAAATTATTACCATTTTCTAAAACCACAACAAGCATTATTCAAAATACAAGTTGTCAATTTTTTAGTAGTTGTGTATTTGAAAATACCATAAGGAATGCACAACAATTGTGTGTGCTTCAGTGCTTATGGTCCTGAATGAAGATACATAAATTTGCTTACTTTAAATCCACATAAATATTAGGAAAATTTTATGTTTACCTCTTCAGCGTACAAAGAATGAAAATAGAACAAAGATTTAAAATGCACAATAACTGTGATTTTTATCTCGAAAAATTAAACTTAAAAATAAATAGGAAAACTAAACACAAACATGGTAATTTTTTTTAAAAAGGATAGAATACATATCGGCAAAATCGCTTGAAGATTTTCTTAAAATACGTATGCCACACTACTGAAGCATGCCCAATTTTATGTTCTTCCGAACGTGAGCGATACACGATATTGATTTATATTTGCACTGTACGGTAACCACACGTCGGTCTGGTGGCTAAGCTCATGTTGCGCAGATGGCCTGTGGTCTCTTGCTTGAACCTCACCGCGTTAGAATTATTTTTTCCATTGATTTCTATCTCAAGGCGCTGACATGTGGTGTGGGACCCACATTTATATGCTTACATGGCATGAGTCTGAATACGGGGCATGGAGGGAGACGTTCCCAGGACTGTGTTGGAGTGTATCATCGTATTTAAGGACCATAATGAAGCATTCCACGAGTCTGAGGACGATCTTGTTACGTGCCAGAGAGTACAAGGACCGTGGCTGTAATTATCTCCTTACAATCCCAAATACTTCCTCCATATGTTACCAACGTACAGGCTTATAAAAATCGAGTATATGAACGCGCAAATTACCCATGGTCCATGGACAAGCAGAGGTATACCTACGTACGTACGTACCCTGGTGGTGCGGCTGCATCCGCTGCTGCCCGAGAACCGACGGGCCGGCGCCTGCCGCCGGAGCGCGACCCTGGTGGCGGATCGGAGCATCGCCAACGCCGCGCTTGTATTGCTCTGGACGGCTGCAGATCTCGATGGTTGAGTCGGCTTAAAGACCGCCGGAGCGTGCGTCTTCGACGTCGACTGGGGTCTCAGGTCGCGATCGCCTCACCCTGTGGGTCTCTAGCGGCCAGGACCAATCCTACCCTTGGGCGTAGAAGTCGCCAATTTTTTTTTTACTAATGGAGATCATCGATGCAGACCAGGAGATGCCGACGGCCGCCCCCATATAAAGAAGAAAACATCAATATATTAACATAAGCTTAGACAAACTTATCAAAAAAAAAATGTGGCAAAATATGGCATTGGCTGGCTTAGAACCACATGCTACATCTCGAAATTTTCCATGTTCACCGCATGGCGGTGTCCATGTTGTTGAGGGTACTTGTTGTGCTCTTAGTGTTGCCTCTGACGGAAACTTTGGTGGGACCGTTTGATTGCATACTACCTTCATATGGGTTTATTAGTCTCCCGTCGTATTTTAGGTCAAATTTTGATCATATATTTGACTAGCAAAATGTTAGTGTCTGTCACAAAAATTATATTGTTGGATTCACATTTGAATGTAGTTTCTAATTATATTATTTTTGCTATTTATAATTTATATTTTATTAGTTATTAAAATCATGGTCAAAATATGACCAAAAATACGAGGCAACTAGTGAACAAGGACGGAGATAGTAATTCTTATCCTAATTCTACCAAGTGATCAGTCAACAAAAAATGCAATCAAATTTCAAGTCTCAAAAGTTGAGGACCTCCCATTGGTGCAGTGTTGAGCAACATCAAGACTAAGGTGCCCAGCTCTACATCTTGTTCTTTTGATCGTGTGAATTGGTCTTCTTTTCTCTCACCTCATGTCAATCGGTCAGTTAAAAGTAACGGGTATAGCACATGTTCTTTCTGGCTCGAGTCGACACTGAATGTGCATTAGCCCGCCAGAATGAAACGGGAATAAATAAATAAATGTTACAATTGGTAGCACAATCCGTCGTAGTCTAGGTTGTTAGGATACTCGGCTCTCACCCGAGAGACCCGGGTTCAAGTCCCGGCGACGGAAATCCTTTTTTTATTCTAATCATTTAACTTTTGATGATGTCCTATGTATTGTGTTCTTACTGCCTTTTTGGGGACAAGGCGTTTCACAGAGATCAGTTCATTCTCACTAAACCTGCAAGCACTCAGTAGATCAGAAGGTCCAGGGAAAATTCAGTTGATGTGAAACAAAGCTGGCCTGTTGATTGTACATGCTTCTCTGACTAACCCTGAAACTTTTGAAGAAAAACAATGGGCTGAAGCTTGTAACGACACCGTGTTGAAACCTGAACATTTGTTTTGGCATGGTACAGGTAAATGAATTGCAGCGTCCTATTATACATGGAAAAACTGTGGGGGGAAATCTGACAACCATGCTAGCCTGGCGTCACTTGCACATCCCTTCAGCAAAAATGGCCTACCAGCTCAGATGCAAAGACAAATGTATGGGTCAAACACAACTTATAGTTGATAAAAATAAATAAACACAGCTTCCCTAAAAAACAGCTTAGGAAAGATAACCTTGGATTTCAACAGGACATGCCAAAGGTTTGACAGGAAATGTCGTTAGACTGAAGTAACAAACTGACAGTCACTACTCATTATTGTGATACGATGATCATACAAAAGAAAACACTTCCAAACATAAATAGAACTCATGGTTGTTCTACCAGAAACAAACCGGATTGATGTTGTTCCTAGCCATTAAGATGCTCTATTCGTCGCCAAATTCATTCCCATTAATGTCCTCCACCTGTCTTGAGCCTTTTTCCTTTGTACGTCCAGCGACAACGAGCCATCAACGACGAGGTTTGTGATTGCAAGGCAGGTCAGCCAATCAATCTCATATGGGCAGAGGAAGTACTTCTTGGTCACACTCGCACAGTCAATCTTCCTCATCGACCTATCACTGAGGCTGAATAGAAAGAAGCCATCTCCATCAACCCAGAGCACCACCGCACCGCTCTTGCCCCGGAACATCTCCAAGCTGACCTTCCCCCTGATCCCTAACGTGACCACCCGCTGCGGCAAGGAACTTCTCATGTCAATCCTTTCAGATAGCACCCAGCTGCTGGTGTCACTGCCAAGCTCACCGTTGTGTTTCCAGAGTGACACCCGAAGGCCTTGCATGAAGAGTAACAGAAGCCCCCCGTCCGCTGAACTCCCCAGCACTGGATCCTTGTTGCGCTTTACTTCCGGTGGGAGCTCCAGGTATGAAAGCTCCATATTGCCAGTGTGTAGTGTGGCAACATGAGTGAGCGACAATTGTTTCCAGCTATCACAGAGCCAGCTGATGGAACCATCATAAGCAGCTGCCGAGGATGGCACCAAACAAAGGCTACGCCTTAGCTCAGGAACTACTGGAGATTCCATCCATGTTCCAGTCTTAGAGCTGTAGCACACAGAGATGAAATGCTTTAATCTTCTTATCCAAATGGCAGTCAGCTGGAAGGACTGGGACACATGTCCATAAATGTCGACATCATTGGTGACTAACAAGGCATAATGGTGAGGAGGCATATATTCGAGGGTAGGAATCTTAAAGGTTTCACCAGTGAGAGGATTGCAAACACATATCACATCCCTCGTGGCCTGACCATTGGCATCTTTCGATTGGCGGCGGAGGACCAGGAAGCTGTCTTGGGATGCAATGGGTTTATAGAAGTTGAGGCTTGCACCAAGACCTGGAATGAAGGTCCCAAGGGATAATGGCTTGATAACACTGCGAGCGGATTTGCTGCCAACAAATCGTGATAATTCTGACTTCCGCACAAAGCTTGGAGCCAAACAGCGGGTTTTGTCAATGTGATGCTTCCAGAGCTCCGGGGAAGACTTTTTCTTGTCCTGGTAGAAGAAGCCAAGAAGGAGGGATGGGGTGAAGCCGTGGTCGCCATGCCGCCTCCTTAGGCGATCAAGGAAAGTCGGGTCCTTGATGAGATTGCGCCAGAACTTGCAGGACGATGCCAGGCGGGCAAGGGAGGCTGGATCAGAGATGTGTGCCGGGATCTTGTACATGATGTCCATAGGAAGATGTGGTGCTGAGTAGTCGTCCTCCATTGGTCTCTTTTTTTTACAGTCTTGAATCTCCATTGGTCTTTCCCTGTAAAGAAAAGCAAGCCACGTGTGTTTATCCCATGAGTTAACTGATTGCCCCAAGGGAATTTATCATAGACTTTCTTAGGATGTCTTAATAGAAAGATCTGATCAAAATATCCAAAAAAAAGGTATTTGGACCCTGTAAGGAAACTGCACATTCCAATTTAAATCATCATCCAGAATAATAGTAAGGCAGACTTGGAATATTCGACAAAGCTATGGTTATTTCTGTAGAACCACGATATGCCTAATAGATGTGACACGCGATTCATGAAGCTACACGGTAAAAATCCATTCCACATTCATCAGCAACGTTAGGGCTAATTTCCGATTAAAATATCAAACCGATTGAACTGGCAGTAAATTACATTACATGGCAAGACACCAAAATGGCCGTGAGCCAAACTTGGAAACATTAAAAAGCTACGATTATTCTGCTGTAACCACAAACTGACAAACACATGGAACCGTATGCCTATAACATATGACTGATGATAATTATAGTGTACCAGTTTTGAATTTGGATTTACTACCCTACCATTTGCTTACTGCCCAAACAACCGTTGTCTAAAAAACCACGGTTTATTTCTCCTCCCATGCATATCACTCCCAACCATCAAACAAACACGGACGTAATCAGACGGTTAAGATCAACAGGATTTGCTCCCGTTCCGGGTGCACATGCCTGACTGGGCTTGTCAATAAAAAAAATCCGGATTGCTGGCGATGTCAAGAAAGTCCAGAAACTCATGTCACCTCATCACATGTATGTACGTCAATTCTGCAAGAGCTAGCACTTTGCAGTTTGTCTTATTTATTATACGCGAACATCATTACTCAGTTGTAACCAATGTTAGCTAAAGTTTTATTGTGCTCCATAGAAGTGAAATATTTTTATTTCAGTCCACCATAAGCTTTGTCTCAAGCTAATACAGGAGAATCTGTCAACTCTAAATAAATTTAGTTTCACAAAATAGCCCATATGTATGCACAGTACACAACCAGAGGACTCAAATGAAACTATGGATCAATGGAGCTCATGAAACAACATATAGTATATAAATAAAACTGCAGCTTTTATGGTGCATCAAAATTCACAAAATCGGCTTGCGTGCTGGAAACTCAGTTCGATTTGTGCAAGTGATTGGCATCTTATTATGCAGTTTATCATACTAGTTCACAGCTGTTGCAAACATATATACCACGAAATTTACTCTGGGATCTGTGTACCGATCATACAGATCTATACACGTGAGGGTTTGGTCTTCACCCAACATCCCCAGCTGAATAGCTGATCCAGCACTTCGTTACCCTACTGCGATCGAAATAAAACACTAGGCAACAACCCCACAGACACGGGATAAGGGGGAATTGGGGAGGAACTGCCAATCAATTTCGCTGGCTCGGGAGCAGACAGTTTATGGGGATGGGGGGAGAAATTGCAGACAGAGAACTAAGAGCGGCCATCAATCACGACGTATAATCCATCTGCCCCCCAGATTGTTTCAATAATACTACGTACAAGACAACTTCGCAGTGGATAGATACCTAGGAAGAGAGGTACCTGGTCGCCGTCGCCGTGGGCGCCGCCGCGTTCGCGCCTGTGTGCCGTCTGTGTACGGGGAGAGGACGATAGAAATGGGGCCGGACGGCGATCACTAAGCGAGAAGCCTCAGTCGGGACGCCGTTATACGACGTGTACGGCCCGGTCCAAAGCCTGCTTTTTTTTTAAAGAACGGTCCACAGCCTGCTTTTAATTTTTTTCTGTTGAGAAGGGTCCACAGCCTGCTGAGTGCGCTTGTTGGAGCAAGTACAATAAGATGACATAATAAACATACTATAAGAGCTAAAATATTGTATTTTTGCTTAGTTGGAGGAGAGAGATGGGGAGAGAAGAGAGAAGCCGGCTGCAATACAAGCCCCAAGACACTTTGTGGGGTTGCAAGATGGGCCAACTATTACTAAGGTAGTACACATTAAAAATTTATTTTTGTACTTGCCGACTATTAGGTTGGCTCTAAATGACATAGCAACTCCTTGTAGTCGATTGTTGACTTATTAACCATGCTCTTAAAAAGCTAGACTATCGTTTGTTTCAAGGAAAAAGGTTACCCAACGAGTCTCACACTGTCGAGGCACAAAATTAAATAAGGGCCCATGAATAGTCACAGTCCAAAAATGCTACACCTACATAGTAGCCTGTTACTTAAACTTACGTTTCTTTCCTTCTCAGCTAATCATCTCCGAGAGCAACGAATTAACGAGCGCTTCTTCGGGAGCCTCGCAACGATCAGCGCCACTTGACGCGCTCTCAGCCATTCGTTCGTCACGTGTCGCGCTCTGGACGCTCCCTCCGTTTCTTTTCTTTTTCCGCACGCGTTTTCGGCTTTTTAAACGGTTTTTTTAGGTTTTTCGACGTTTTGGTTTTCCATCGGTCTTCCCTAGCTTTTCGACCAATTTCTTTTTGTGCAAAAAAACGCATTTTCTTTTTCTTTCTTTCGCGAGAGTCACGATTTTGCTTTCGCGAGAGGCACGATTTTGCTTTCGCGAGAGTCACGATTTTGCTTTCGCGAGAGTCACGATTTTGCTTTCGCGAGAGTCACAGGCTCACAGCCGTGCCTCTCAAAAACGAAAAAAAACGTGTTTTTTGTTTTTTTTCCTTTCTCGAGAGTCACTGTTTTGCTTCCGCGAGAGGCACGGTTGTGCTTTCGCGAGAGTCACGGCCGTGCCTCCTCGGAAACGGAAAAAATGCGTTTTCTTTTTTTTCTTTTGCGAGAGTCACGGTTATGCTTGCGAGAGGCACGGTTGTGCTTTAGCGAGAGTCATGGCCGTGCCTCCTCGGAAACGGAAAAAAAATGCGTTTTCTCTCTTTTTTTTTTCTTTCGCGAGAGTCACGGTTTTGCTTCCGCGAGAGGCACGGTTATGATTTCGTCAGAGGCACGGGCGTGCCTCTTTCGAAAAGGGAAAAAACCTGTGCTCCCGGTTCCGTTTTTCGTATGGTTTTTTTCGTGAAAAAAAGTTCGATGTAAAAAATATTGGATTTTTTCAATTTTGTTAATTTTTTTGAAGTGTACTGTTCATCCGGGTGCACCTACACCCGGGAGCAGCCACACCTTTCTCGTAACTTATTGCGCTGCTTGCTATACAATGAAATGAATGGTCTGAATAGAGTGAATTGCAAAAAACCACCACATTGAAGCGTCGTGTTGCAGAAAAGACTCTTCTATGAATTTGTGCCAGAAAACACTGATTTTTATCCTAATCATTTGCAGAAACCACCTAACCTTCTGTTCGGGCATTTTAACCTCTATTATGACATGTGGGTCCCGCATTTGATGACATGGCACAACGTTTCGTGGTAGACGACGTTAAATGAGGGATTTTCTGGATTTACAAATCAGTCCCTCTAGTTTTACAGGAACACCCTTCAATCAAAAAACAAAAAGCAAGTCAACTCCCTCGATGGATTTGGGCTGACACAGCAGCCGAGCAGAGCAGCAGAACTATTTGCCGCAGCACCCTCCCCCCAGCCTCACCCGCCGCCGCCGGCCACCCTCCCCCCAGCCTCACCCGCCGCCGCCGCCACACCCTTCCCCGGCCTGACGCGCGTCCTTGCGCCGCCGGACCCCCACACCACCGCGCGCCGTCGTCCACTTCACGCCGGCACCGGGAAGAGGCTGACGGTGGCGGAGCCCCACCGAGAGGAGGCAGCCAAGGCGCGAGCAGGCGGGGCCAGCCGGGAGGTTGGTGAGAGCCCCGTCGTAGGTTGGTGGCGCGCGGGGATGCAGGGACTTGGCGGCGGTGCAAAGTGGGTCTCCGGTGGCGGCGCGAAGTGAGGCTCCGGTGCTGCAGCTCTGCCGAACTTGGCGGCGAGGAGGGCGCGGGCGTCCTGCAGCTCCTGCACGGTGAGGAGGGCGCAGGCGTCGTGCAGCTCTGGCAGGTCGCCACACCAGGCGACTGCGTAGACGAGCCCCGCCGCCGCTCCCGGATGACCTGCTCGCGGCGGATTAGCACGAGGTCCGGTAGCCCAGCCGGAGCAGCTGCTCCACGTCTCCGACATCGCTCTCTGGTGCGCTGCGCCATGTCCCTGCACGCACGCTGTCGGCGACGACATCAGCTGGCGCGAGGATGGAAGCCTGGTGGCGATATGGATTGGGTAGGGGAGGGATTGGGAGGAAGGTTCTTTTTTGAAAAATACCAGTCTAACGGTGTCTACCACGAAACGTTATGCCACGTCATCAAACGCGGGACCAACATGTCATAATAGAGGTTAAAATGCTCGAACTGAAGGTTAGCTGGTTTCTGCAAATGATTAGGACAAAAATCAGTGTTTTCTAGCACAAATTCGTAGAAGAGTCTTTTCTGCAACATGACGCTTCAATGTGGTTGTTTTCTGCAATTCACTCGGTCTGAATATGTTTGACGCAACACTTTATATGTCTGAAAATGCTTGACGCAATGACAGCAACGAGTTGGAGTCTGAAAGTGTTTTAGGCGATGCTGGTTATGCTTGAAATGATGTGCGACAAGCATGCTAACCACAATAATAAATAAATAAATAGAAAGTGCACGCAGAAGCTAGAAGGGCTGGCAAGCCTTGTGACAGGCAGTTTGTGATAGAGTGTGGCCTTCCTGATGTTCCCAAGATAATAACTGCCATATCCCCATATGTTTGGGGTGTGTGCAAAGAGATCAGCTAGCAGAGAGAAATATCAATATTGTTCTTCCTCGCCTCCTCCCGCTGCTCCCTGGCCTCCCGCTCCTTCCTCGCCTCGTCAAATCTGTATCCCAGTATTCCATTCCCTGTCACATTGTACTTGTATGTGACCACCATGGTGAGGGCGATGCAGCCAAGCAGTAGTTCAGGCCCTTTCCTGTAAAGCCTCCATCAACAAATTAAATAGAGTATATTGCAAATCTCATGAAAAAAATTCCGAAAATTACTGTCAAACTTGTTTTACTCAATATACAGTATTATTAAGGAAGCTGAAAAT